AAGTTTCGATACCGAGCCTATGATTAAGAAACGAAGAACGACAAAAAAAACGAACCTTCATTGCTCACGTCGCCTTCTCTGTTCGCGTTGTCGAGCCGCTTCGTCGACGAAGGATGATCCTAACGACTTTCATGCTCGCGTCGTCAAGCCTCTTTGTCGACAAAGGATGATCCTATTTGCTTTTATGCTCGCGTCATCGAGCCGCTCCTTCAACTATAACGAAGAAGATGAACACTTGTGTGGAAACGAAAAACCTAGCTCTTTGAAATGTTTCAGCCGCATAAATGAATATGGATATTGAGCGGAAACGGTGGAAAATCGAAAAGAAAAGGTAAATCGTGGCTCCGTGTTTTTTTCAATAGGACACGCGTATCCGATACGCGTGTCCAGTCAAATTTAAATATAATTTCATAGAAGTATAGCTTTTCTACAAAACTCTTTATTTAATCAAACCAGCAGGCTAACGCAACTTTAACTAGGTGATGTATACCAATAGAATTATGACATCGTTACACTTTAAATGGTTCAAAAGTTCATTGTCCCGTGTAGCAACCTAATACACCTAAGGGCTACCTCCAACACCCAAGAATACTATCAAAGTCATCCATTTTCTTCCTTTAGTACTTGCATGCAAAAGTCCAGGTTTTCGCACATCGTCCAAAAGATCAAGAAGATTTTTTTGAACGACAAATTGAAAATATCGTACTCATCATCTAGACTACCTGGGATATGTTAAAATTTTGAGTAAAAAGTTCAGATAATAGACAAGGAAGGCATTTCTTATCCATTGTCGAATTTCCCATTCTTTAAATATGAGTGTGAGATTCTTATTCAACCCTACTACACTGATAGGAAACAAGTGCAGAAATCAAAAGTTAATGCCTGAAATTTGGAATTTCAGCAAGAACACAACAAAAATTGAATAAATCCCGTGGCAAAACCCTAGGAAAATTTAATAATTGATGAAAAGTGAAGGAAAACAAACAAGATACAATGGATCTTCAATTCAAGAGGAAGATCCTGCTCTCCTAATCTCTAGCCGGTGGCTAGAGCTCAAGCAAAATTAGAGAACTCCTAATTGCAGAAAAAAACCACATTTCCTTACCCTGGGGAGAAAAAATATGTTTAAATCAAAACACAATCATCTAATCCCTAAACAGTCCCTTATTTTTGAATTTTTCCTCCCAAACCTATCCTTAATCAATGTCTAATTGACTATTGGGCCCCACCAAAGCCTCCCACCCCCTACTGAACAGAACCCTTGTTATGCCTAGTATATGTGTGAACCAGTTCAGGGTAGACCGATCTAAAAATACCCCTCCCAAGATCCACCTTATCCTTAAGATGAAAAGAAGAAAATTGATGCTTCACCCTCTCGCATGGCTCCTGGGTGGCGGCATAGTCGGGTAGGCTCTTCCATTTAATCAACACTTCCTTAAGCCACCATTATACTTGTCGTACGCCTTCCAACTCCAAAGGTTCCAACACCACCTCCAAATCCTTAGTTAGTGTCGTCAGTAACTCTGAACTAACTGCATGCTCCCCAAGAGTTCTCTTAAACTGTGAAACATGGAACACTAGGTGTATGGTAGCGGTCGAGGGTAACCTCAAGCGAGTGCAATCTTTTCCATTTTCTCGTAAGGGCCAAAGTACCTTGTGGCCAACTTCTCGTTGCTCCTGTTGGCAACTGTCCTTTATTTGTAGAGTCGCATTGTTAAAAACACCCTATCCCCCACTTCGAACTGAATGTGCTTCCTATATTCATCCACCTGATTCTTCACAATCTGTTGTGCTCTCAATAGATGCCTCTTGAGTTCCTCTAACACATCATCTATTTCCTCCAAGTATTGTTCTACTAAAGAAACTGGTGCGCTCCTCTGCGTAAAATGCACAAAGTTTAGGGGGTCTCTTTCATACAACACTTTGAAAGGGGTCATCTAGGAGGCTTAGTGATATGAAGTGTTGTACCAGTACTATGCCCACGCTAGACATTTAGCCCACACCCGAGGTGTTTTTGAAGCAAAACACCACAGGTAAGCCTCCAGGCTCCTATTTACCACTTATGTTTGCCCTTCTGTTTGACAGTGGTAAGCGATGTTTCTCTTTAGAACGGTTTCTTTTAGCCTAAACAACTCTCTCCATAATTGAATGAAAAACACCTTATCTCGGCCGGATACTATCGACTCTGGAATCCTATGCAATATGACCACCTCTCTAATGAATGTTAGTGCTACTGTAATTGTTATGTAGGGGTGTCGAAAGGAAAGGAAATGAGCATACTTGCTCAACCTGTCAACCCAATGGGGCCCCACACGGCGGTCCTTTATGCAAAACAAACTCTAATTCATAGCTGTCCTCCTGGATTTCCTTTACTCATGGTTCCACCCTAGGAATCGCCAGTGATGCTTTCAATTGCATATCAAACATCTTTTTCATCCATCTCTTCAAAGTTCCAGAAGCGGTTCTCGATGGCGGAGAGCCCTCCCTCCACAAGGAATATTTTTCCTCTACTTCAGCCTTGAGTTGTTCCATCTCACCCTCCAATACTTTCATAATCTTTACTATCATTAATTGAGTCTAGGCACCAATCGCAAAAAACAACGAAGATAGCTCTCTCTTTTTTTTTTGTTCCTGCCCAAGAAAGAGCTCTGATATCAATTTGATAGGAAGCAAATGCAAAAATAAAAAGATAATGGCTGAAATTTGGAATTTCAGCAAGAACACAACAGAAATAGAATATGTCTCGTGGCAAAATCCTAGGGAATTTTGATAATTGATGAAAAGTGAAAGAAAACAAACAAGATACAATGGATCTTCAATTTGAGAGGAACATCCTGCTCTCCTAATCTCATCTCTAGCCGATGGCTAGAGCCCAAGCAAAACTAGAGAGCTCCTAATTTCAGCAAAAATCCACACATCTTTAACCCTAGGGAGAAAATTTTACTTAAAGAAAAACACAATCATCTAATCCCTAAACAACTACTTACTTTTGAATTTTTCCTCCCAAATCCATCCTTAATTAATGTCTAATTGACTGTTGGGCCCCACCAAAACCTCCTGCCCCCCTACTGGGCAGAACCCTTATTCGACCTGGTATATGTGTGAACTGGTCCAGAGTGGACCGGTCTAACATAAACTTAGCTCAGGCTTGCACAAGTAGACATTGCATACTAGTGAGATATTTATGAGTTTCCTTCATTTTGGCTTTGTGCAAGTACTTCACTGGCAATGAGATATCCATGTTCGTTTTTACCAAAAATTTGATAGCGCTTCTGAATGATCCCCAACAAAGGAAGCAACACAAAGTTGAGCTTATCATGCCCATGATAGGAAAGCTGGGTTATGTTGTGTATTAGACATTGGGGTTCTATAGATTCTCCTACATAGAGAAATAAAGACGAATATAGATTGTGTGAGGATGCTAAGGTGGTAACGACAATGATAAAGACAATGTGTAAGAAGAAGAGAGTTTGAGTTTAAGAGTATTCCCTATACTTCAAACATCATGAGAGTAGTTCAATAATACTTTTATGTGGTCTCCCATTCATTATTTGCTTCTACCCCTCCCCTCATATTTATAGAGGACGACTTCCCAAATAATCTTATGTATGGATATGGGACTACATTTGCAAGGGAAATGAATGGGATGATTGCCTTGAAGGGGTTTTAAAGGATTGGAGCCCACTAAGTCCCTTCCCACATTTTATCTATTCGAATTGTGATAACCCATACGATGGACAGTAAATCCAACGCTAGATGGGTTGGCTATTATTTGCTTCAATTGGATTTCTTGGGCCTTTTAGCTTTGTTTAGAGCCCAGATTGAATTGTTTGACTTAGTGGCTACATGGTTTGACTTGAATTCTGCTGACTAATTTTTTAATGTGTTGATCGGGATTTGACTAAGTTATATAGGCGAATTGGGTTGATTTACGAGGAAATGACTTATAACAAGTGTTGGGACCTAATAACTCATGGTACGTGTTGGGACATTTCTTGGTAGCTGTCATTCCTAGAGTGTCCATGTGAACCTCCTTTCGAAACAAAAAATCAAGTTGACCCCACATGGCCATTCCTACATAGAGATATTTATAAGTCAAAGCATGGGAATTTAAATAGATCAATTTTTTTTTCAAGAACTTCATGTGATCTAGTGGCTGAAATTTTATTCTGAAAATGTGAGAACAAATTCATCATTTCAGAAGGAATGTTTCTTTAAGGTTATACAATTTACAGGAAAACCACAAAAAGAGGTAAAACTTTAAAAGCAAATGACCAATATGTGCACTAGTAAACGAGAATCTCCTTGGTACAAAAAAATAAGAAGCTCAAAATAATCTATCAATTATTCGTATGTGACTAGTTTAATCCTAGAATATCACATTTTTCCGATTTACTTACTCAACATTACAAATTGATCCCAAATAATCCTTCGGGAATTAAATTGGGATTACTTTTGTATAGTAGGATTAAAATTGGATGTACTTTTTATACCAATTTCTGTCAATTTTCTACCAGAGGGATGAATATGTACAATTGAGCGACTAAATTGAAGAAACATTATGCTCTGAAATTAAATTGGCCGCATATGAATATTTGAGGAATTATTTTGAGTTTTTTCTTAAAAAAAATACACAAGGGACATTTGAGATACATATTATATCAATAACGCTATTCAATAAATTGCAGATGCTCTTCCCAGATAATGGAATCAATGCCATTTTGATAAAACCCGTATAAATTAGTTCTGTGAGCAAAAAACAAATGAATATAAATATAAGTTTTATGTAGAAAAAAACTTGGAGATAAAAAAAGACCCAAATCTTTATGTTTAGGAGTAAAGATTTCCAGCCATACCACATACTATGACCAATCAAAATAATTACCACGTATAAGCCACAATGATCAGTACAAACTGGTAGAAATAGAAAAGGCATACACAAGACAAAATGCAAAGAGAACCATACAAGAACGCAACAATGTAAATGAATGATTTTATACCTTGGTCACACAGTAATAAGCTTTTTTGTACTCCCAAATGCGTCTACCAATGATATATTCCCGGTCACTGCAGAAGAATGGGAACTGAGAAGAAAATATAAACTCCATTCAGATTTGAATGATTTTAGAAGGTTTCTAAGTTGAGAACTGAATAGACATTTGTCTGGCACCTTTTTTACCCAGTGAACAATCGTTGTTCCAGATTCCGGAAATTCTTCCAACATTTTGAAGTAAGCAAGCATAGAATCCCACTTCAATCTAAAATCATCGTCCCAGAAGAAATCTCTAACCAACTCTGGAGTTGCGTCCTCAAAAATAGTTCTGCTACGATAGACTATAGGACCAGTCTGAGAAACCAAGAAAATATACAACCATGAGAATTACTCAAAAATAAATAAATATATATAAAAATAACCTCAATACAAAAAACTGTGGCAATCTGATGAATAACCTCTTGAGTATTGCCTAAAGAACAAAGAACAAAATTTATTAGGATAGAATCTACGTTTGTATGAGGCATGCAATACCAATAAAGTCAATTAAAATATTACTAACAAAATAAAGAACCGACAAAAAAAGTGGATGAACTAAAAAATTAGTCCAGGAGTACTACTACAGTTTATACATGCAAAATCAAACCATTAATAAGACAAATTCTTGCCAACGGCGCAATCATGAGATTAGATAATATTAGTTATGAAAAATAGATACCTCAGGTTCATGGCGCCAAGCTTGGTAACTCATGTTTGATGTGGTTCGCTCCATTTGATTTTGCCACACCATATCTTCATCCCTACCATCTAGAAGATGAATCAGGTGTTCCAAATCCTTATCTGTTACTGCATCTTTCTGTGTATCAAATGCTCCGGTACTGGAAATGTTGTTATAGAATTATTGAAATGAAAGCATACAAAGAATATACAAGAAATTCGAGCAATCACAATAGAATGAAGAAAAAATGAATCAAAGGCCACAAAGATGATAAAAGTTTCCATCTGCATGTTTAACCGAACTAACAGAAAAAAACGCCAATTAAAAAACAAAATATGAATTCTCAAAATCAATTAAACAGATAAATAAGGCATAAGAAAGATACTTCTGTCAAACTACGTTGTGCCAGCTAATAGTATGTTTGCGGACACTCATTAAAACCAAGTATAAAAGGAAACAATAGAAGATATCTAAAATGCGAGCACTTGACCTGGTTCCCCCCTTTGGTTAGCAGCAATCACCCAATCCCACCCCCTCTTCCCAAGCAACCCTCTTCCCAAGCAACGCCTTTTAAGCTCCCTTCTTCTCTCTCCAAATTCCTTTCAAGACCTAAGTGCAACAACATTACGCACCATAAAGAAATTGCAGGTCTAACAACCATCTTATAAAATTTTCCCTTAAATTTGAGGGGGACATTTTTATCACACAACAAGCCCCGATGCATTCATCCAATTCAACCATCCAGCTTGAATTCTACTAATAATATCTTCATCTATTTCACAATCACTTTGAACAATAGACCCAATATATCGAAAATGTATACTCTTATTAATGACTTGATCACCTAAAGCCACAATCCCCCCATTAGATCTATTATTACTAAAATTATACTCTATATATTCATTTTTAGATCTACTCAAACGAAAGCCTTTAGACTCTAAGATTGGCCCCATAATTCAAGTTTACCTTCAACTACCTCTCTAGTTTTATCAACAAGAAGAATATCATCAGCATAAAGCATACACTAGGGTACAACCTCTTGCAAATGTCTAGTGTGAACATCTATGACTAAAGTAAAAAAGATAAGAGCTTAAGGATGATCCTTGATGTAATCCAACTGAAATAGGAAAATACTTTGTTTAACTAACTTATACATACATATATCTTTCGCCCTCCTTGGTATCTAATCTATTATATAAATCATTAAAAGCTAAAATCTTTTCATAGTATATTGCTTTCTTAAACTCCTTACGAACCTCTTTATACTTTCTCAATTATCAGAATTTTTACATCTAAATCTATTTTTATAATAAATCTTCTTTTTTTCTTACATATTTTTTGCAACATTCTTAATATCGCTAGCTATTTTTTCTCACAAAACATTAGCTTACTCATGCACAGATAAAATTTTAAGATCTAGTATCTTACTATCAAAAATATTTTTCCAATAATCTTTAAAAGCACCCATCTAATCCTAGAATAATGTTTAATTTTTATTTTTATTTTTATTTTTATTTTATTTTTTGTCCCTTCATCTTGAAGTCTAAAACTAATAAGTGATATTGGGTATATAAACTTTCACTCGTAATAACTTTACAATCTTTACAATCGAAACAATCTACTTTTCTTATATGAAAATAACCAATCTAAGTTTTACTATATCAATTATTCTAAGTGATGAGATACTCAGCACTTTTCTTAAATAATGTATTAATAATTATAAAATTCTAAACAAAAGAAAAATCTATATGGTCTTACCACCTTTGTTAGTAGCTCCAAACCTATAGCCACCATGAATTCTAACAACATGTCCATTTAAATCTCCTCCAATAAATTTTTTTCTCCAAGAGATGTCTTTTGTATTAATTCTTTTATGTCATTCCAAAATATTAATTGTTGAATCAACGGCTGTATGGAGGGGGGTATGTTCCCTCCCTCTTCCAATCCAACTCTCACCAAACTGTGCAGCTCCACCAAATATCCTCCACCCACCAACTGTATGTTCCTCACCATAGTTTTAAGTAAAATCATGGATTTGGATAGCCCTGCATCTCCATTGATCACTACCTTTCTCCCATCCACCATCAACTCCATCGTGAGTGCTCCCCAATTACTTTGGTGTCTCCTAATGACTGCAGTCACTTCATCCCCAGGATGACATATATACTTCTTAACTCCAGTGGAAGAAATCTTCTCTCACCTGAATCCCCTGGAGATTTAGTAACATTCCTCTACAGATCCCCTGGCCTTTCTCAACCTTCCACGTACCCATCATCACCTCATAACAGCAGGTATTCACCAATTTCACTCCTAATTGGTCGACGACCTGAGTGGAAATGAAATTATGGGTAGACCCGTTATCAATCAGCACCACCAACTCCATGTCCTATATCTCCCCATATACCTTCATGGTATGATTCATAGTGAATCCTACCACCGAGTTCAGGGAAACCTTGGTCAGGTCCAAATGCAGTTTTTCCTCCATCTCCTCCTTCACCTCCCTCCTCAGTTTCCTCATCATCACAGACGGTGAGAACCTGAAGAGTTCGATTCTTACACCTATGTCCTAGAGTATACTTTTCGTCACACCTAAACACAACCCCTTGGCCCTCTTTTCCTGCGTCTCCTTCTCTATCAGCCTTTTGTAATTCCCCCCACTTTCTCCTCCTGATATCTTCTCCTTGGTGGTCTCATGAAACCTTCCTGTCGTCGGCCCCTTGGGTTATAAATGAGTATTCTTCATCCGGTATGTGCCTCCTGAACTACTGCTCCTGGTTCCCTTCTCCAGGTTCTTCTGATTTTTCACCAATTGTGCCAACTTCATGGTCTCTCCTAAGTCACAAGGCATCATGACTTTCACCGCTGCTCTGATGTCTGTCTTGAGTCCCTTCATGAGATTCCCCTCCAAAGCCGACTCTGATAATCGTTCTACTGACTGGCCAAAATGCTCGAACCGCTTCATGTAGTCTGTCACTGATATGTCTTGTACCAGTGCGAAAAACTACTCATAAAAGTCTGCTCCCCAGTCGGTTTGGAAAAGTTCTAATAAATAGTCTTTGAATGATCTCCAGCTCTGTATAGGCCTCCTCAGGACCCTCCATTGGTACCATGATAATGCCTTCCCTTCCAAACATAGACTCGCGGCTGCCAATTTCTCTTTGTCTGTCAACCCGTTGATGGTGAAATATTTTTCCACCTTGTAGATCCACCCATAGGCATCTTCCCCTTCAAATATTGACATCTTCAACTTTCTCACCTTCGGATCTCCCCCGTATCCCGCCACAGTTTTCTCTTTCCCAAGTATTTTACTCCCCCAATGTCTTTCGGCTTTCCCTTACATATTCACCTTCAAACCCTTCTTCACTTTCTTCCATCTTATCTCCAAAATCAGCACTCCTTCCATAATGTCCCTCTTTTCTATCCCAACCAGCCCCCCTTTCTCCATGTTCCCTATTCCCACGCCTCTCCATATCTTCCCTCTTTTTCCTCCATGATTTCTCCCTCGCATTCCCTCCTATGAATATCAGAATTCGTAGTTCTCCCTCTTGGTCCCTTTGCCTCCGATGCCACCATTTGAATTTGATTCTCGAATATCTTCTTCATCATCATATGAAGATTGGAAACTTTGTCTTCCATCGACGAAACCTTGCCTTCCACGAATGAGAGTTGGTCTTCCATTGTGGCTTTGATTTGGCTCATTTCTCCTTCAAATTTTTTTTCCAATGTGTTAACTTTCTTGGCCGCCATAAAACATTTTGGATATTAGATCCAAAATTCAGCAAAATCACTTTTTCTTATCCAAAAATCGCCGCTGAATTTCTGTAAAATTCAACCCACAGGGTATCAGGAACAATGCTCTGATACTAATTTGATAGTAAATACTTGAGTTCGCAAGTAACCCTAATGGGAAATGCTTGAGTTCGTAAGCAAACCTAACAATAATCGGTAAAACAACAAGAAAACAAAAGAAAATATGATGGAAAAAACAATCAAACGATAGATAATCATATAGAAAGCAAAGTGAAAACAAGAACGAAGCAAAGATACAATTGATCCTCAATTTGAGAGGAGAATCGTTCTCTCTCAATCTCTAGACAAAAAGCCTAGAGCCCAAGACGCCAAAGAGACTCCAAGATAAATCCAAATTTTTACATGCCCTAACCCTAGCCTCTCCTCATCCTTAAATACAAATCTTCCTAACATAAACCAATTTCAAAAACTCTCCTTATGCAGTATGCACTAGCCACCCCTTTCTCTCTCTCTTATTGCCGCCTCAAGGGGAACCCACCTGTTGGCTGAAAAACATTAAGGAGGCGGCTTAGCCCGCCTCATGTAGAACGGGACCGGCCCCTCTTGGGTCGGTCTGGTTAGTTCCGGAACAAAATCTTGGATATATTATATAGAAGAATGCAAATATAGATGTACTTCTAAAATTAATGTTGATAAGTATCTCAAAAGTATAACGCAATGAAAAAAAATATAACAGAGACGTTTAAGGTAAATTTTCTAAAAATGAACTTCGGCAAGCAATATTATATGGATCTAACTGTTGGACAGTAAAAATAATCAATGCCTAACTTGATCATAACATAAATGAGAATTTTAAAATGAATAGGCTAGTCCACTTCATATTTTCATGCATATTGTAAATATTCTCCTAATGCAATGCAATGGAAATCTAGTAACCATCCCTACTCAAAGTTGATCAACAGTTTAACCAGATCACAACATAGAGGCATGCAAACTTTGAGAACAAGCAAATCAACTAATAGGATTAATTGATTACATCTGTATTAAACTTTTGGTAGCCGCCATAATTCTAAAGCTTCCAAAATAAGCCCAGAACTTGGCTAATATTATCTCCTCTCAAGAATTGATAATCAGTATAATTATTTCTCTACTTGTACAGTCGCTCCTCTCACAGATTTGGTACTGATATTAGCTTTGTCTATTACCAGCTTGATGAAAACATAATAAAGGTGATGATCAAATAACATAACATCTGAACCTTATCTTAGCCTTTAGTTGAGTAATCCCTGCTAATTTATGTGTCCACACAGCAACAAATAAATTTTCCAAATTGTCGCAACCAAATCTAGTTCCTGCTAATTTATACTTAATTATTCATTCAAAAAATTCCAATACAAGAGAATAACCCCGCTATGCATAAAACATTACAATGCTACTTATGCCAGAGATCCATCATCCATCAATCATGCCTTGACGTTCAACCTGCTAAACAGCAAATATTTACATGTAGCAGTTCTATCCTTTTAACGATGAGAAATGAGGCATTATAACATTTAATGAAAAAATATTAGATACAAGTGAAACATAGAATATGTTCCGGGCAAGGGAACGCAAGTCCTATGATCACCAATCGCACTATAGCCATTTATAGAAGAACAACAAAAACAAACCCAAATCAAATCCAACAAAAACAGAAATAAAAAAACGAAAGGGAGGAAATCTTTGGCACCTCAAGAACCCCGCAGCATCTCCTTCAACTGGCCGTTCCTCGCCGGCGGGGGGCTCTTGGACCTTAACCTTGAAGCTTGACCACAGCTTGCGGCAAACAGAGAAAGCAGATAGCGCAGTGAACGCCAACCATAGTCTTCGTGCACCAAGACCCGGCGGCACAGTCCATAAGAACCGAATTCTGCTACGCAGACCAAGGAAAACGAGCCCCGTCCATCGCGGTCTCCATGACCAACCTATCACCAACCCGATCATGACGGCGACCCAGATCGGCACCGTGCACAGCACGATGTCGATCAGCGTTTCCAACACCTCCGGCCTCTTAAGAAAATCCGCCAAGCCCGCGTACATCTCCTCCATGAGGAGACGAGGAGGAAGAACAGGAGAAGAAGGTCGTCAAAACACCTTACCCTAGCTGTACCAGAACGCTGTAGATATCACCATCAACGGATAAAAAGATGAAATCTGGTGGAGACGGAAAACAACCAGAAGCTAGGAATTCTTCCGTTATTCTATTTTTTCCAGGGCAGAAGCTGGTAAAATTTGCCTGAGTGGATATACCCAAGGGATCTAGTTTAGATGAGGATATAATTTGCGAAAAATTTTGTGCCAGATTTTTTAAAGCTCCGAATTAACAAATCTAAGCTGACCTGCATTTTGTCGGATATTCATTCAAATTAGGATAAACTTACGCAACAAAAAAAAAGGATAAACTTCGAAAGTATTAAATTTATTTTAAAATCAATAAATTATAGATTAGATAAATTTATCGTTAATGTCGGGATAAATGAAGCCCCTTCTATATATTTTTGGGCTTTGTTTGGATTTAAGGGTCTATTTGGGGTAATTTTTTTATTGATTTACTTTTAAGATCTTAACTATAATTTTATTTAATTACTGCTTTCTAAGTGCTTTTAAAAAAATTTATGGTTGGAATCTATTTTTTATAATAATTTTAAAAAACTATTTTACTTTTAATAATTTTACAATCAGTTTTACAAAAAATTGCAAGAGTTTCAATAAATTCTAATGCTTCATTTGGGACCAGTTTTTCAAGTGTTTGGAGCAGCTTTTTAAGTTCATTTCTGAGGTTTCGTTTGAGATGACTTTCTTACTGCTTTTAGAAGCAGCTTTCTAACATAAAAATTCAATGCAAGCAATGAAAAAATAATAATAATAAAATATTTCAAATGAAGCCAATAGCTTTAAAAGATATATATATATATATATATATATATATATAGTTTTAATTATTTTTTACTTAATACTTTTCTTAACACTAAAACAGTTAGACAAAAATATGTTTTAAGCAAAACCTCAACGAGATATCCTCTAACAATCTTGTTTTTAAAATTCGATAAAATTGAGAGAGGGTAAATAAGGCTGATTATAAAGATGGGCCCCTTAATTGGAAGCACAATTGGCCTAATGTAGTGCACTTAATAAGAGTGTAAAAATAAATTAGACTAAGGATTTGTTTGAGATAACTGTCTTACTATGTAAATATGATATTAAGATACTCAATTTAATAGAGCACAAATCCCCATGAAATTTGAACCATAGTTGTTTAGAATTAAATTCAAGACAAATTGAACTTCAATTTCAACAAAACTTATAATCAAACTTAATTTCTTAATAAAACAAACAAATCAACATCAAAAGTGAGTTTATTCGACTTTAAATGAACTTAAATCAAACATTTCAAGCATAATTAAAAACTTCAACATATTCATTGGATGATCAAATAATTTATGTATCTCACATGCTTATTGTTAAATTTAGAATCTCGACGAGACGAATCCAACAAGCTCAAAATTGTCTAATCCCAGCATCATTAAGGCAAATAATACTAAAAAGAAATGTCAATAGTCAAGGGAATTAATATGAGTCGTCTAATTGAGTGTTAGAGATGTATTACACTCTCAAAATATATTCATAAGCATTCACTCTATATATAAAAGGGAACTTGGATCTTGTCTTGAGGTTCATAAGAGCCAAAAGGCTTGAAGAATCTCAAAGCTCCGCCTGACTACCATTATTGGACAATTGTTCAACCGTCATCATTAGACCACCGTCACTTGATCATTGTCATCTAATCACCATAACTCATGACTACAGTCTTCCAAACATTGCTACATGACAACAATCTTTGAAACACTCTCACCCAACCACTATCGCCATGCTAATTTATTCCAACCACCATACCCCGACAATGATCTCCCAACCACCTTAGCTAAACTACGATCTTCTAATTACCATTGCTCAACTATAATCCTCAGACCACCGTCAACTGACTGCAGTCCTCCACCCACCATCTCCCAACTACAGTACTCTAACCATTTTGTCGCCCAACTATGTTTTTCTAACCATTATGGCTCGATTATAGTCTTCTAACTACTATCATTGGACTAGGACCCTTCGAATTGTAATATCCACATAGCCAAAACTTCGGTAATTATTATTAATGTTAATTTAATTATAATTTGATTGATAATTATGAGTTCTAGAGTGTCTAATAAGCTCTTAAGTAAGTCCAAAAATGAACTGAGAAACAAGTTTATATTCCTAAATTGTTTTCTAGGAGCGCCATAGCATTAAGTGGGCAACACCGTGGCATTGAGCTTTACAATGGTGAAAAGGTTTTGAATGTGTGTTACAACACTAAATGGTGCCGCTGCAGCACTATACTCTCTATTTGAAAGATTCTAAGGGAATAAAAAAATTCAGTTTAGCACTGTGGTGTTCAACCAATTTAGTTATTTTAAAATAATAAAATATATAAAACCATTGTTAATCTTCCCCTCACCCCAGCCATCATTGGAGAAGAGAGGTGGGGGAGAGGAAATGAGGAGAGATAATTTAGCGGCCAAAGTTTATGGTTCGTCCGTCATGCCAAAATGGATTTTGTAGAGCACGTGTTAAACTTCAGAACTTCTATCACTGATTTTAATTCTAATAATTTCATAGAAATAATGAATAGAAATGTATTTTTCTCTAATTTTACATTGTTTCCATCATGTTACTTTTAATATATTGTTGAAGCTTTACTATGAATGATTTTACTATAAGAAATCAGATTTTTATCGGTTGGATTTTCCAATGTAAATTTCTAAGTATATGATTTGATTGAGGCTTTTTTTAAAATTAAAATAATTATATAAAAGTTTTAAAATGTTCATATGTGGGAAGTTTAATTAGTAAAATTTAGTGGGTATAATGTTAAACATACAATGTGGCTACTTACTGACAAATTCATGCATCATCTAAATATTGAATTGAAATTATAATTTAATTATTATTGCATTTTGTATTGTTCATAGTATGACATTGGAGATGTTTTAATATGTGAAAAAGTGCACTCACTGATATATTACAAGGGCTCTATATGTTTGATTCTTGCCCCATTTGTCTAGAGTAGCTGAAGGGATTATGGCCCCACTCGTTGAAAAGTGGTTGTGAGAGTAATGTGGCGATGTTATGTTCTAATTTTAACCTCACTTGGTATATGCAGGTGTGGGAGATTAAAGAGAGGCATAAGTGTAAGTAGAGTATATATAAATATACATCGGAATATGTGTATTAATATCATGTATTTCATATTCTAATGATTTATAAATTAGGTATGAGTAATCTTATGAACTAAATGTTAAAAAAAATTGAATTTCTATGTAAACTTGATGAAAGTGAAAAGCTAAATGTATGAAAATATCGTATAGCGAGTATTCTGTGATGTGTCTGTAGATCTCTCTGGAAGTAACATCATAAGTATAAGTGCTAAATTGAAAATCCATAATACATACATTATTATATTATATTAGGATACGTATAATTATATTAAATTAGAATGAACAACATTTATTATTGAAGTATTTTCTCATTGGCATATAAATAATTTATATTGCATTAATTTTAAAATAAATTGCATAGTTTTTAACTTCATCCAAATATAATTTGTACTCAAATTTTTTCCAATGTTTAACCAACAATATGACCTAGACAACACGGAAAGACTATTACGTGTCAAAATCGGACACAGAGAATCGACCGGTTTTGTCTTTGTGAACAAAAAAAGCACAGCAGTAAACAGTACAAGCACAGTAAAGAACAATAACTATGCTTTTACTGTTTACAGAGACAAAATTGGACAATTCTCTGCATCCGGTCTCCGCAAGTAACAAAACCACCTAGACAGGAGCTTAAACTTCAGTACGAAACACTCGGCAAAGGAGATACCTCTCTCTTTTTTTTCTTTTTTCTTTTTTCTTTTTTTTTCACAACAAAGCATGTGTATCATACAGGGAGAAAGCACACTGCCTTAGTATTATAAAAGTAAAGGATACATGATGATAATCCGTCATAAAAAGCCATGAACAGTTCAATACTCCAACTTGGCTTTATTTAGATAAGACGCGAGTATTTAAATAGGGCCATAGGCACACACAATATTATTCTGCTGAATTCAAACCAGATAAGCATCACTGCTTATTGAGTAGAAGCTCAACCTTCTTGGGGAGTTCATCCTTGTGAGCACCCACCAACTTGTCCACAACTTCACCGTCTTTGAGGAAGATGAAGGTTGGCATTGCCGTTACTTTCCATTCTTCGGAAACCGTCTGATATAGTTGCATGATTAGATAAGAAAGAAATATATGTTGATGGATAGAATAAAAAAAACAAGCAAATGTCTCATACCTTCAGTTCATCAACATCAACTTTAAGGAAGATTGCATTAGTGAACTTCTTAGCGAGCTCGGCAAAAATTGGAGCAATAATGCGGCAGGGGCCGCACCAGGAGGCAGTAAAATCCACTACAACCTGCAGGTTGATTTGAAAAATGAATACTAACCTTTCCAAATATGATAATTTATAAAGTTGTTCTAATTATGAAGTTTAAAGTTCGTAACAACAATACTATAATACGTTCTAGAGTGACAATACAAGTGTGAGGTAAGCTCGTGGACATTAATGCCTCGCTTGAGATGGCTTAATTAGTGTCGTTTCCGTTCGAAATGTGAAAAATAATTTGGGTTGCTGTTTGGATGCATAACTTTTGTAAAACTGTGTTTTTCATATCTCCATTATCTTACTGATTTTCAAAGCTTTTTACTTTTGTTTCTCCGTTAGAAAAAGTCAATTTTGAAACAATTATTTCTCACTAAAATTTTATAGAAAGATATCTGCTAACAAATGAGGCCTAAGTTAAACTTTCCCATACTGAAAATAATAGTTTTTAAAACAGAATATGATAGCATTAGAAAATTTCCTACCAATGGCTCTTTTAGATGATTGTAAATAGATCGCATGTTTAGAAAAAAAAAAGGTTTTGTTTTGATGCAGTTTACTAATGAAATTGAAATCAATATATTTGATAGAGTTTTACAATAATTTGTAGATTTAAACTAACGTAGATTTCTAAATACATCCAACAAAATAATGGAATTCGTAAATTTTTATGATTTTTAAGAAAATATATTCGTGAAGTTCCAGCAACCAAATGAGGCATAAAATGGCAAATGATTAATGGTTTAAGGTGTGCATACCACAGACTAAAATATAGGCATGCCTGTAAGGATCGATTAATATTGTCACGCTCACGTGATAGACCGGTCCATGGATTGGTCCAGCCGGTCCATGCGGGACCGGCTCACGTTAAATGGGGAGGAACTCTTCCGCCCCCTGTATGGGCCGAACGCAAGCCGCAAGCCACCCATAGCTGTTTTGGAAGGATTTTTTCGGAAGTTAGGAGGGAAATTTGAATGTAGGGGCTATTTAGAGGTTTCCTTTTGATTTGTATGCATTAAATAGTATGTTTCCTAGGGTTAGGGCATCTTGAATTTGGCTGAAATTATAGATCTCTTAGATTATAGGTTTCCTTTGGGCTTTAGCTGCGTCTAGAGATTTGGGAGAGAAAGATCCTCCTCTCGAATAGAGGATCGATTGTATCTTGGTATTTTTCATTTCCATTTCATCAAATATTACAAATTATTTATTGTTTTCCCGTTTTTGTGTGGACTTTTGTGGATAATTCTAGCTGTTTTTTGAAGAATGATAGGAAATACTTGAGATCTACAAGTGCTCCTATCAAATTGGTATCAGAGCAGGTCTTGGGACCGTTCGTGGGCTGATTTTGGCGAATTTAAGCGGCTGATTTTTGGTCGGGAAATGACGAAGTTGCTGTTTTTGTAATCCAAATCCTGAATTTTTGGATCGAGATGGCGGCCAAAAAAGTTAATGCGCTAGAAGAAAGGCTTGAAGGGGAGATGAACCAAATCAAGACAATGATGGAGGAAATGATTTCCTCCATGGAAGGACAAGTAGCCGATCTCCATGACAAGATAAAGAAAATGTTGGAAATCCATAACCAAACAACGGCTTCCGTGGCAAAAGGGGAGGAAGGAAAAAACACGAATTCTAAAATTCGTAGAGAGAAAGATGAGGTGGAAATCGAGGAGGGAGAAAGAAGGAAACTCTATTTGGAGCATTTCTAGAGAGAGTATAGAGAAGATAGGTATGGAGAAAGGTATGGGTATGGGCCATGGGGAGACGGGCAAAAGGGTGTTGATTGGGAACGTCGGGAGGGACATTATGGTCGCCGAGGTGTTCATTTTGAAGGAAGAAGGAAGAAGAGGGGAATTCGAAGTGGGTTGGGGCTATGGCAGGGCAAGGGAAAACCAAGAGACGTGGGATGAGTAGAGCACTTGGGAGAGGAGAAGCTATGGAGGAATAAGAGAGAATGGTGGAGATCAAAAGGTGAGGAAGTTGAAGATGTCTATCTTTAAGGGGGAGGATGCGTATGGGTGGATATATAAGGTGGAGAGGTACTTTGCCATTAATGGGCTAACGGAGGATGAGAAGCTACAGCAACAGGTCTATGTTTGGAGGGGAAGGCAATGTCATGGTATCAATGGAGAGACTAGATGAGACCTATCAGAGACTGGAGGGAATTCAAGGACTGCATAATAGAACGTTTCCGAACCGACCGAGAAGGAGATTTCTATGAGCAATTCTTTGCTCTGGCACAAGATGGATCAATAGCAGACTACCAGGAGCAATTTGAGCACCTAGCCAGCAGGATGAAGCGATTATTAGATACGGTATTGGAGGGGAACATCATGAAAGGGTTGAAGGCAGAGATCTGAGCATCAGTGAAGGTTCTGATGCCTCGTGACTTTGAGGAGGCCATGAAGTTGGCCTAGCTGGTGGAAAATCAAAAGAATCTAGAGAAGGGAGCCAGGAGCAACAACTCGGGAGGCTCTTACAGGACGACGACCACGCTTCTAGCACCCAAGGAGCATGCAACAGGCAACATTAATGAGACCACTAGGGAGAAGCCAGTAGGAGGAGGGAGTGGGAAAAATTTCAAGAGGCTGACAAAGAAAGAGATGCAGGAGAGGAGGGCAAAGGGGTTGTGTTTCAGGTGCAAGGAGAAGTATACGCCAGGACACCAATACAAGGACCAAACTCTTCAGGTTCTCACCGTCTGTGATGACGAGGAAACAGAGGAGCGATGTGAGGGGTAGTTGAGGAAGAGATGGAGGAGAAGCTTCATTTGGATCTGGCTGAGGTCTCCTTGAATTCAATAGTATGATTCACTTCGAATAATACGATGAAGGTGAAGGGGGAAATAGCAGACATGGAGATGGTTGTTTTGATTGACAGTGGGGCTACCCATAATTTCATTTTCACTCAGGTTGTCAACCAATTGAGAGTGAAATTGGTGGACACCGATTATTATGGGGTGATGATGAGTATAGGGAAGGTGGAGAAAGGTCAGGGGATCTGTAGAGGAGTGGTGTTGATCATCTAGGGGATTCAGATAAGGGAAGATTTTCTCCCACTAGAGTTAGGAAGTACTGATGTCATCATGGGAATGAAATGATTGCAAACCTTTGGGGAAACCGAGGACAATTGGGGAGCACTCATGATGGAATTAATGGTGGATGGAAGAAATGTGGTTATAAGGGGAGATGCAGGGCTATCCAAAGCCATGATATCACTTAAGATTATGGTTAGGGACATGCAAAAGATGGGGGAAGATTATCTGGTAGGACTACACAGGCTAGTGGTGATCAGATTTGAGGAGGGAGGGGATGTTTCTCTTTCAATTCAGCCCTTGATTCAGCAATTCGGTAAAGTTTTTCAACCACCTCAAAGATGACCACCTCCGCGGGAACACGAACATATTTCCACCTTGAGGACAAGGTGAATCTTTGAAAGGGGAGTATTGATAGACTGGTCCAGCCGGTCCATACGGGACCGACTCACATTAAATTGGGCGAAACTCTTCCGCCCCTTGTATGCGCTGAACGCAAGCAACAAGCAACCCGAAGCTATTTTGGAAGCATTTTTTAGAGAGTTATGAGGGAAATTTGAATTTAGGAGTTGTTTAGATATTTCCTTTTGAATTGTATGCATTAAATAGTTTGTTTTCCTAGGGTTAGGGCATCTTGATTTTGGCTGAAGTTGGAGATATCTTAGATTTTAGGTTTCCTTTGGGCTCTAGCTGCGTCTAGAGATTTGGGAGAGAAAGATTCTCCTCTCGAATAGAAGATCAATTGTATCTTGGCATTTCCATTTCCATTTCATCAAATATTATAAATTATCTACTATTTTCCTGCTTTTGTGTGGACTTTTGTGGAGAATTCTCGCAATTTTTCAAAGATTGATAGGAAATACTTGAGATATATAAGTTTTCCTTATCAATATGCGTTAATCTTATTCAGCTCAAGCTTTTACTCCTCTGCCCATAACCTGAAATTCTCCTAAAGTTCTTTTGTGATGCCCTCCTCTTTTCAACCAACGGGTTTTATTTAGATAACCACAGTGGAACTTGGATGGTCATTTTGTGATGTTGTGACCTATATGCTAGTTACATGTCAGCAACACCCATGATTGTTGTGGATATTGTCAAGTTACATTGAAGAAACTATATGGTTGCTCAGAGGTGGCCTAGGAGGATGAATCTCCCATGAATTAAAACCTCTTTTCGATAGTATTTTATCATGCTTCTTCAGTTGAATAAACTTGCAAAAATTTAATTAAAAAAAAAAAAGAATCAATGTAGATCAAACCATTAAACTAGAACAAATTTCTCATATAAACATAAAAAGGCAACCATGAAAGTAGCCATCCATGGCATTTCAAATGATTGTCCAAAATGGCAAAAAAATAATTGCTTAAATTAAAAATCGTGTGTTTCACAGTATTTCATACAACGTTGATATCATGGTTTAAACTTGTGCAATAAAAGCCACGCCTCAACGCAATTTAATTCTTTAAAGCCTCAAAGCCTACGCAATGAAAGCAGGGAATGAGGCGAACGCCTCAAGTTTACTAAGACGCGTCTCGCCTCAGGTTTTAATGGCGTCCGCCTCTTAAAATAAAATTTAAAAACAAAACAAAACAAAACAAAACCCTAACCTGATATTTATCTATTCGGCCCCCAGCGTCTTCCGTCATTTTTGAACCGCGGGTGACAGTGCTGATGTCTTATGAGTTCTTATGTGATATGTTATTGATATTTATTTTTTGAATTATATGTTAATGAAAAGAACACTGTGATTTGATTAAGATAGAATTTTGAGTTGAACTATATTTCATGTTGTCTTATTATTGGAATATTTTGATTTTACTTCATATCTTGTGTTTTTTTATATTTTATATTATTTACTCATTAGTATATGAAATTTTTTTTTATTTTATGTTTACGCAATATTTTGATTTTGAAGCTTACGTCCCAAAACGCTTTATGGCTAATGCCTCGCCTCACGAACAAAAAACGCCTCAATACCCGATTACGCAATTTTAAAAATTGGTTGGTATATCATCTTTATCTTAACAAATATACAACCAATAATACAGCATTGTTCATAAGCATAGGAATATGATAAAAAGGAAGTTGATATTGACAAGTGTCTAGGTATACACAAATGCGGACCAGCTGTAGGTTTAGCGCATCTCATACTTTTGGCAGCTTGGTTATACTTATATTGCATAATTTCATACACTGCTGAAAAGCAAAAAGCTTTAAGAGAAACAAGCAAGTCAATGAGTGTAGCAAATTAAAACTTGTTAATGTAGATTCCTTCTATGCTGACGTATACAAATTCACAAACATGAGAAACAAATATGGTCATAATCAATATTAATCATCAACAATCCTTATATTCAATTATTAGGGCTCTGCTTTATGTATCTTTGTTCTCCATTTATTGTCGTTTGGTGCTAGCACACTAGAGGTTAACTCTAAATTATGCAGATATTGGTACCCAACTTCTAATCATGTTATCATAGGCCTATCCAATTCCGCCTACAATCTTTCCATGATATCGGCTCTTCTATCCTTTATTATGTCAATATCAGCTAACTTCGTTCATTATCTTATCTTTAAGTGCTACTCTTTTTGTTTATGTATCATAAACCATCTTATTCTAACTTCCAAACTTAATGAAGTCTATATATTAAGAGTCTCACAATTATCACAGTCAACTTGGCTACTAGTGATTTTACTGCACAACACTCAAAAAATCATATGATATAATTGATCTATTAAAATAGTCATAATATTTTCTCATCAAATATTAATCCAAAGACATGTTTCAATTCTAATAACCCAACTTCAAGTTTGGAAGTCGTGCGCTCATACATATTTCCATTCTTTTGAACAATAGGAAAATATAAACTAACAAAAAACTTAAATTAAGATGAAAGTAGTCGATACAAGACTTAGGGAGAGAGAGATACCAATATAAGTGTGAGAAAAAGCTTAAATGGCCAACACAACAAATAATCATTCATATATGAACAGCCCAAACAGAATGTTAATAAAAAAAAAATTTGGAATGAGCAAATGGTATTAAGGTATTTGAGAGAAAACTAAAAGCAACCTTAAGAAATTTTTAAATAGAATATAGACCCTTGTAAATGCAGAAATCCAATGGCTCGCAAAGATTTGCATTGCTCTCAGCCCAAAACTAAGAGCCAATTTTAGATCTGAATTTTCTAAGCATACTACGCCAACTAAACCCCATCTTCAATTGAGTTTATGCAGTCTTATCCCAATACAACTAATTTACATCGTGGAATACTAGTTTTCAAAAGATAAAACAACACTTCATGTAAAGGCGAATAATTTTTATGTCTATTTAAAGTTTTAAACAATTAAAGCCTTCCTAGCTTATTTAGGGTTTGTTTGGTTTGAACTTTGAAGTAAAAGGGTTGTAACAAATAGATGGGTTTTGAAAATATTTGTACGGTCTAAAGTAAAAGATATGCAAAAAAAAATTTTGTGTATTTGGAATTCACTCTAGTTTACTCATAACTTATTAGAAAATATTAGTCTGTAATTTTGTCATTTCCATAGAAAGCTACAACAGCCCGTCCTTCGTCAGTAGCCACTCGCCATTGGCTGACACCACTGCTACAGCCCCCCACCAGCTATAGGCTACCACCATCCTTGAGCTTTACACTACATTCATTTTACTTAAAAAAAAAAAAAGAACATGCATTTATCATACACTCAACTAAATAACATCAAAAAATTTTAATACACTTCATTTTTTATATTATATTTCATTTTACTCTTCATTTCTTTTTCATCCAACCAAACAATCCCATAGTGATTTTTTGAAAGCCCAAATTCAAGCATGAAAAAACTTGACATAAAGCACGTATAAATTAAAATTTTAATGGTTCTATTTCACTTCAGTTGTTATGGGGGATCGTGCTACTCGGTACAAATTCAAACTAGCTCAATAAGACGCTAGGGAAGAAAATCCAAAACAATTACATGAAATTAAATTATAATTCCACATTTCCACACAGTTAAGAAGGATGCTGATTGCTACTGTTCGGACCCTAAAGGACTTTTCATTGTCATATGCCGTTCACGAACTGGAGCTAACCAAAGTTATGAAATACACATCAAATACCTTAATTCAGCGCAATTATGTCAACCCACGGGCCCGCCAACAATAATTTGTAATGTTGCATACAGTAGATATCCGTCCAATATATCTTTTTACTCCAATATGATGGACTCGGAGGTAATATCAACACCCAAAAGTCAAAACACTTGCATGAAGACTATTTTTTTGGGGCGTATAGCTTTTTTTCTTTCATAAAACCATGCAGATGCACAAACTGGTACGGTAAAGAAGCATTGAGGATCCGATCCAAAAAGAATGCGATGAATCTACAGGATATCACTTAATCTACCAACAACCGGAAATCCATCACTAAGTAATAAATATTTATTATGTTAAATACAGTGATCATGAATGAGGAGAAGAACAACAGCTCAGCAACTTAAGTAAGGTAATAGATTTATCTCCATGAAAAACAAGTTTATGGATCAAAATAAAATTCAAATCAAATGAATCAAATATAAAGTTTCTGCAAAGCCCGTTAACTGCCATGATTTGAAGTAGAAACTAACGGGTAAAAGATAACTAAGCGAAGTAGGCAGATTCAGGGCCACCGCATGACGATCCTCAAGTAGAATTTACGCTTCAAATGCATAAACCCTACTTTCTGCAAATAATAGAAACCCACACATTCGGAAATAAACGGCAAATGAAAATAGGTCAGACGCGTATCCACATAAATGGATCAAACAATATCAATAAACAAATACAAAAAAAACAAAACAAAACAAAAATCCTCATCATATCTCATACATGCTCTTTAAAATTAAACCGATCCCATCAAACCCATCACCAACAGAAGAAATCCCGATCCTCATAATCCGACAAAGGCGCGAGGCATTTCCAATCAGTACCATCACAAACACATCAACGAATCAGCTTGCAGGACAAGAAATCGAAGCGGGCTAGCAATTTGATCAAGAGATAAGAGAAAGAATATAGTGAATTTTACCAGTTTGCTGGACTCCTTAGCCTGTCCAAGCTGATGGTTCCATTCGTCAACGGTGTGGCATCCGATCACGGCTCCCTCTTCCGCCATTTCCGATTCTTTTTCTCTAGATCTCCCAAAAGAACACAAAAGAACAATTAGACTGCACAATCCTTGCCGAAGCGGCCGGTCCGGCTCCTCCGTTTTATAGGCCATTTCAAACGATTAATTACATATTTGCCCTACTTCTAATTTAATTTTGTTTAATCATCATGCAATCATGCGTAATTGCATACGGAATAATGAAATATAACCCGTCCGTTCACGTTTCTAAAGATTCCGTCCGCGTTCATTTCACGGTCAAAAAAGTTCAAAGGTGCGATGCGTGGTTAAGAAGTTTGTATGGGGCTTTTACGAATTTTGTGAAGTTGTGTATAATCTAAATTTTCGGGAAAAAAAATTGTGTTAAATCTAAATATTTGAAAATTTTATTTGCATATCACATAATTGTTATTGGCGTATCAAATATCCAAACATTAATATTTGTTTATATAATATTTTTTGTATTTTAATTACTTCAATATATACATAAAAATTATATTTCACTTGTATAAAATATTGTTAAATATTTGAATATCATAAAAATAAAAATAAAAATTTAAGATTTTTATATTTTGGACCACATAATTATGTCCATCAAATTTAAGTAAATTGAATCCAATTGATAACAAATCCTAATCATATTGATGTCCCTAATCAAGATTGTGTTTATGAATCATTTTGAAGATATAATTAATTATAGAGGATTATGTCATAAGAAATATTGATCCCATATTTTGGATTATCAATCATACATAATATAAGAAAGTCGAACAGCTTGCCTTTAAAACTTTATTTTACTCTAGAATGTCACATGTTGGTTGCTTATAGACATCAGATTTTAGTTATTGGCAAGAAATAATATCGAAAGTAGAACAATTGTGGGTGGATGACACAGCTCACATTGATATGTTGATTGAGAGCTTTGGCTACCAGCCAATAGGCCTTGGATTTGAAGTTTGCGTATGTGTTTTATGTGTATGTTTGTCTTAATTGACTCAAAAGCCACAAAAAAAATATAACGATGATGTCAATGTTGGTCGATAAACTATGTTAGGTAATACAGGTGGTCCGTGTAGTGTTGATAACAGGTATCAGTGTTGGTCAACAAATATGTCAAAACGGTGGTGATAATGTGTTAATGTTGACTAACAATTGTCAAGTAATATACACAAAGACTACTGTAATAATGTGCATAGCTCTGAAGTTCTCTAAATCTAAGAATTATTGGCAGTTCTTTATTAAATGTGTAGAAACACGGTCTATCTTCCTATTATAGAAGGGGAATTCTACTCATTTATGCTCAAAAATATAATCTCAATGCTTTAACATCTTTGGTGAGTTCATCTTATCAAAACAAATATTCAGATTATAAGCACGCAAAATTCGAGAAATATTTGACTTCTAAAATTTACAATCGAGCCCATGATTACCTAATTTAGTGCAAATTTGGACTTAAATGAAGGTCTTTTTGGCATTATTAATTTTCTTTCCGTCGTATCATCTCAATTAAGAGTTTATTCAAACTATGTTTTAAATTATTTAAAAATCAATTATGAAAAAATTTTAGCTCAATATCAAAATGCTCTGATATTTACAAAATTGCATCATATTTCTTATTTAATCACATAAACTCCTCATATACAGATATTATTTTCTGTAATATTTAATTTTGAGAAATCAGCATCCATTCATACACATTTGTAAAAGAAAAGCTATTTATTCAATTCAATTCCCATTGATCGCCCAACCAAGGCCAAAAAAAAAGGTCACTTTACATTTTTTTTTTATTTTATTTTATTTAACGCGGCAAGGAAATCTTAGGAGCGAAGCAAACGTTTCTTTAATTTTTTTATTATTGCACCACGTCATTTTAGGCCTTTCGAAGCAAACGATTATTTTTAATACTTTCTTTTTTAGATCTAAGTCTACATTTCTTTATATAGGCCTGGTTCAATACATCTATTCTACTAATTAGATCATCAAAAGAAGTAGGGACTTTTTTTACATATACACACCAAAAATATAGCATTAACAATATCTTGTTTTCCTCTCTGTAAAATTTGTGATAGTTCATTAGTGATACCAAGAATATCTTTCATAAGATGTAGGCAAAAGGTAAACTCAAAGGTCTGTAAAGATTCTAATAAAGTATATGCCTCACCTTTTTGTTCTGAGCTTATGCCATCTTTCAAAATGATTTCCAAAACATCAATTACTGTAGAAAACATTGTAATTAATCTTAAAATTGATTTATAGTATAAACCCCACTGCGTATCACCAGCATGCCTAAGGGTTATTTCTTGATTTAAGCCTTGCCCAGGACAATTTATGTGACAAAATCATCTTAGGTGACTTTGTCTAATCTTATTTGCCATAGGAGTTACTTCAACCATTTATAGTATAAGAGAAATTTACATACATATCACTTTATTTCATGCTATTTATATATCTAATACCCAAAATATTAATATTACATGTATATCACTCATATACAACTTTAATATTGAATATACTACTCCTATAATTCATGTATACCATTCATAACATCTTATAAACTTTAATATTTTATTTCATGTATCCAAATTTCTTTTATGGGTGATAGTCATGTAATATTAATATTTTAAATGTTAGATATGTAAATAGTATGAAATAAAGTGGTATGCATGTAAAAACCCAAAAAAAGTTCTTAAAAATTTAAGGCTTTTACAAACTATAAGCATGTCATATTTTGAATTTATTTGGTTGTCCAATTTATACTTTGAAGCTTCAGAACGTGCTTTGGATCCTTTATTTGGTCCCATTTGGACTCAAATTTGATCAAATTTGGTGTCGTTGGGTTTGTCTCTTCAAGACATTCAGTTTAATTATAAGTTTGTTGAAATCATAGTTCAAATGATCCCGAATTTAATTTTAGAAGTTTCCAATATGAATTTGCCTCAAAATTCGTGCACAATCAATATATTTATTTGATGATATATCAATGTTATTTCTTGTTGAGTTATAAAATATTCTTTGGATTTTTAAGCTTACTAGTTTTCCATAAAAATTTAAGAGAATATAGGAGACACTTAATTTTTTATATTAAAAACTTAAATTAGAGATGGGAACATTACAAGAGTATGAGTTGCTAGAATGACCTATTTATAAGAGAGGTCGATATAATGTTCTGCTTTAAAACTTGTTGCATCCTGGAGTATTTGCGGCGGTAGAGAAATATAAAGTTTAATGTCTTAGCATTGTATGAAGATCCAACACACATACAAATAAAAAGAGATGTTCGCCATTCACTCACTAGAAACACCAAGATTTTTACGTGGAAAACTCCTGAAAAAGGGGGAAAACCATGGGGTATAGCCCAATTTAAATGAATCCACTAGTATTGCAGTTAATTACAAATGAGGCCCTTCCTTGGGGGAAGGTCTTAGCTTGATGTACATCTTACAGAGTACATTACATGATGATACAAAGAATCACTGTTGATTTGTTCGCTTGGTCATAATGACCATAGTTGATGGGCAATGTAAGTCTGAAGGACTATAGTCGGTGGGCAACGTAAGTCGGAAGGACTGTAGTCGACGGGCGATGTAAGTCGGAAGGACCGTAATCGACGGGTGACGGAGGTCGGAAGGAACGTAATCGGCGGGTGACGGAGGTCGGAAGGAACGTAATCGGCGGGTGACGGAGGTCAGAAGGATCGTAGTCGGCAGGTGACAGAGGTTGGAAGGACTGTAGTAGGTGGGCGATGTAAGTCAAAAGGATCGTAGTCGGCGGGTGAAAGAGGTTGAAAGGATAATGTCAGATATAATTCCAACAATATATAGAAATCCAGTATCAGATAGAAGTCCTGCGAAAGTTTGACAAAAGGTAGAAGTCCAACGTCAGTTGGCGTCCGAGGAGAACTCCAGCGTCACTTAGAGGTCTGATAGAATTCCAACGTCACTTGGAGGTCGGGCGGAATTCCGGTGTCACTTGGAGTTTGGGTGAAACTCCAATGTCACTTGAAGGTCGGAAAGAACTCCGGCGTCACTCAGAGTTCGAATAAAACTTCATCATCATTTGAAGGTCGGCAAAATTCCGGTGTCACTTAGAGTTTGGGTGAAACTCCATCATCACTTGAAGGTTGGAAAGAACTCCGACGTCATTTAAAGTTCGGGTGAAACTCCGGCATCATTCGAAGGTCTGGCGTCACTTGGAGGTCGAGCAGAATTCCGACATCACTTGAAGCTTGGGTGAAACTCCATCATCATTAGATGGTCGGACGAAATTCTGGTGTCACTTGGAGGTCAGAAAGAATTCCATCATCAGTTGGAAGACTGACAGAATTCCAGCGTCACTTGGAGGTCGAGCGGAATTTGGCGTCACTAGGAGGTCGGGCGGAATTTTCGGCGTCTCGTGGAAGTCGGGCAGAATCACAGCGGTGGTCGAGGAGGAGTTTCTTCCCTCCTACTCTTCTCTTCTTCTTCTTCTTCTTGATTGGGTCCCCTCTCAAGAGAAATAAGAGGTTTATTTGCATATCTCTAGAGTGGCATGGCTCGTAAATAAGTGAAAGATAATAGGTAAATGGGGAGTGGTTGGATGGACGACCGATATTGAATCTCTTGATCGTGTACCATTCGTCAGACATTTGAAGGTTTTAATGATGTTGAAATTCGGCGATCTTGGGCTCGTTGGATTCTTCTCGTCGAGTCGCTTGATTCGACTATAAGCACGTCATATTTGGAAACTGTTTGGTGACTCAAATTGTGGTTTAAACTTTCTAATAGTGCTTTGGTGCTTGATTTCGACTCATTTGGGCTCGGATTGAGTCGAATTTGGTGTCGTTGAGTTTGTATTTTCGAAATGCTGAATTTGACTATAAGTTTGCTGAAATTCTGGAGTCACTTGGAGGTCGAGCAAAATTCCGACATCACTTGGAAGTCGAGCAAAATTCCAACGTCACTTGGAGGTCTTGCGGAATTCAATGTCACTAGGAGGTCGGGCGGAATTTCGGCATCCCATGGAAGTCGGGCAGAATCCTGGCGGTGGTCGGGGAGGAGTTTATTCCCTCCTACCCTTCTCTTCTTCGTCTTCTTGCTTGGGTCCCCTCTCAAGAGAAATGATAGGTCTATTTACATATTTTTGGAGTTGTATGACTCGTAAATATGTGAGAGATCATGTCTAAATGGGGGAGTGGTTGGATGGATGACTGCTATTGAATCTCTTGATCATGTACCGTTCGTCAGACATTTGAAGGTTTTAATGATGTTGAAATTCCGCGATCTTTGGGCTCGTTGGATTCGTCTCGTCGAGCCACTCGATTCGACTACAAGCAAGTCATATTTTGGAAACCGTTTGGTGACTCAAATTGTGGTTTGAACTTTCTAATAGTGTTTCGGGTGCTTGATTTGGACTCATTTGGGCTCGGATTGAGTCGAATTTTGTGTCGTTGAGTTCGTATTTTCGAGATGCTCAGTTTGACTACAAGTTCACTGAAATCGGAGTTCAGGTGATCTTGGATTTAATTTTTGAAGTTTCCAGCTTGATTTTCCTCGATATTCGTGCCCGATCAAGATAATTTTTTGATGATATATCAAAACTAACCATTTTTCTTTTTTGCTTTCGTTAAGAGACTGTTACATTGGAAGTAAAATGAGTGTAGAGGGTTCCAAATGTACTAGTTTTGAAAATATTGGTGTTTTATTAGAAGAAAAAGTAATGCAAAGTAAAGTAAAATAAATGTAGTGTAGATCATTTTAGTTGATTTCTGAGTTAAAATAAACTTGCTTAATTTCTGGCTAGAATCGTTTACACTGCAATCAAACTCACTTGACCTCAGCCACCCGCCACCTCCCAACAACAGTCGCCACCCATCGCTACTCGCCAGTGGCCACCACCACCGACCACGATATTGAGATTTTACACTACATTCATTTATTTTAAACCAAACAAAAAAATATTCACGTGCATTTATCTTACACTCATCTAAATAACTATGAAGTATTTTTTTTTTATGTTTTATTCCTTTTTATGATGTATTCCTTTTACACTGTAGTTATTTTACATTATATTCTTTTTTAGCAAATCAAATAGCCCCTAAGAAGCATATGAGGATACTATAATTAAAAATTTAATATTTTTTTAAACTGAATATAATATATATTTAAATTTATAACAACTAATTTTTCATTTGGACATGGACACAATTTTTTTCTTTATTTAATATAAACCCTAAAAAATTCTCTTATTCAGATAATTTAAATAATTTTAGTGAATTATTCTTTTTGTCAAATTCGCTGGTCCTGCGAACACTATTCACTTTGTCATCACATTATTCCTATTCGTTCATATATATTTGTATAGTGATAGGGATGTAGATGAGTCGGGTTGAATAACTGTTCAATTCCAATTGAGTAAATTTCTTTAGTTATTGCTAAGCTCAAGCTCGAGCTCGACTCGTTAAAAAATCATAGGCTCAAGCTCGTTTAGAAGGCTCAAGCTTGATTCGATTGTTGGGTTCTGATACGTCGTCAAAAAATTATCTTGATTGGGCATGAGTTTCGATGCAAAATAAAATTGGAAACTTTAAAAATTAATTCGGAGACCATATGAACTCCGATTTCAACAAACTTATAGTCGAACTGAGCGTCTCGGAAGTACGAATCCAACGACACAAAATTCAACTCAATCCGAGCCCAAATGAGCCCAAATTAAGGAACTGGAGTGCTGTTGGGAGCTTCATACCACTGTTTGAGTTACCAAACGGTCTCCGATTTTTACGAGCTTATACTCGAGTCGAACGGCTCGACGAGACGAATCCAAATAGCCTAAGATCGCCGAATTCCAACATCTCTAAGACCTTCAAATGTCCAACAAACGGTGCACGATCGTAGGATTTGATATCGGCTGTCCATTCAACCACTCCCTATTCGCCCCTGATCTCACGCCTATTTACGAGCTATGCCACTCCATAAAATCTATAAATAGAGCCATCATTCTTCACAAAGGAGGGGGGAAGCAAGAAGGGAAGAGAAGAGGAGAAGAGAAGGAAGAGAAGAAAGAAGCTCCTCCTCGACCACCGACGGAACCTCGCCGGACCACCATAGGAGCTTGCCGCACCACCTCTGGAACCTCGCTGGACCACCATCGTATCTCGCCGGACCACCGCCGGAACCTCGCCGGACCACCACCAGAGCTTGTCAGACCACCGCCGGAGCTTCGTTGCACCACCTTCTAAAGGCTCGGCGTTGTGGCCCGACGTTCTAGCCCGACATTCTGGCCCGACGTTCTGCTGAAGGCTCGACGCTCTGCTCAAGGCCCGACATTCTGCTCAAGGCCTGACATTCTCCTAAAGGCCCGACGTTCTGCTGAAGGCCCGACGCTCTGCTCAAGGCCCGACATTCTGGTCAAGACCCGACGCTCTACTCAAGGCCCGACGCTCTGCTCAAGGCCCGACGCTCTGCTCAAGGCCCAACATTCTGCTCAAGGCTCGACGTTCTGCTGAAGGCCCAACGTTCTGCTCAAGGACTGAAGTTCTGTTCAAGGCCAGACTACCAACTAACACTCAAACTTCCAGGTGACGCCGGGTCTAACACCAGACTCCTATCAAACAGTTACTAGTTGTAATCTGATCGCCCTTGGAGGCGATTCAGCCTTTTGTAACCAACTCAAATTCTAGTTGAATCATTTTCAACTAGGCTAGGCCACGTGTTTTTTCCCCCTTTTTAGGGGTTTTCCACGTAAAAACTCTGGTGTCTCTTATGAATGCTACACCCTCTCACTTATCTGTTTGTGTGCTGGATCTTTATACAATGTTAAGACATTAAACTATATATTTCTCTACCGCTGCGAATATTCCAGGACACAACAGATTCGATTTCGTAATTTTAAATTAAAAAAAAATCAATTATTGTATAACTTTTTTAATTTTTAATATAAAATTAATCTGAAATTATTAAAATATATTACATAATACTAATTTAAATTAATTACTAAATACATTTAGTTTAATCAAGCGGCTCAACGAGCTTTCAAGCTGAGCCAATCTTCGGCTCGATCTCAAGCTCATTTAATATACGCCCTTTAGTATAGAGCTCAAGCTCATTTAATATACGCCCTTCAATATAGTCTCGAGCTCGAATTCATGGCTCGATAAGCTCAACTCGTAAGCTTGCTAACAAGTCAAGCTCAAGCCAACTCAGTCCACTTTCACCTCTACATAGTGAGGATCTCTTAATGTTTTCTTTGCCACAAATCTATTTGAATGGAATAATTCATTAAAAAAATGATTATTTAAATTTACAAAATAGGGTTTTATTATTTTCATACTTAAATTTTTGTTCTTCTTTTCCGAAAGTTTTCTATTTATGGCAAAAGGTGTATTAAAATTCCTTAAATACTTTTTTTTTTTAGAATTAAGAGATAACGCTAAAACTCACACACACTTAATAGCTATACATGACTCAAATATAAGACCTCTTAATTAGAATCTAAAACATCTAATTAATAGATCAAGAAAGTCAGTTGCCAAGCACGTACAAGCTGACGTGGCAGCGGGTCGATACCCGTTCTAAAAAAAAAAAAAGTCAGTTAAAATTCATTAAATGCCAAATTAAAAAAGCTTTCATTATTAGCCGTAGGAATGCGGGGCCTACACAAAACACAAACGAGCACAAATTCTTCACTGAAATGAAATGTCAGAAAGTCCAATTATTTGTTAACCGAAATGCAACATAAAAGAAAAAGTAAGAGGGAATAATAGCCCACTTCCAGCTTTTGTATATAAATTTTTTTTTTTAATGATGAGGAACTGTCCGAGTGTGTTTGGCGATCTTTAAATTCCGCTTGACCTATTGGGCCACCCACGCCACTGTACCTGTAGCCGGCGCTTTGAGGCCCCCACTGAAGTTGCGACTGCCGCTCGAGGGCATCAAACTCGGGATGGGGCTTTCCAACCGAGCGCGTCCACCAACCGAGCTAAGCATGGGCGGGTACCGCTTTTGTCGGAATTCTTAAAAAGCATAACCTTCAAAGCATCAAATTCTTATCTGACGAGATGCCCACTATAAAACTCTAAAATCTTTTTTTAGAGGAAGAAGTGTTTTAATTTAATTTGTTCATCTTTAATAAATACAGTTACTCAAATTTTAAGAAATAAATTTCTTTTTTATTTCATTCATAAATAATGCATTTATTAATCATATTTTGCTCACCCTCAAAAAAGAGTAATTCCGCCTCTGTGAGGCTTATAAAATGAAATTTTTTTGAAGAGAAACTTCTTCTTTTTTGCCATTGCTTTTTTTGAAGTGAGATCAATTTGGTATTGTCGAAGTATTTCATGAGAAGAATACATTAATTTTTAACTGATTTTAGTTTTAAAATTTTTTATTTTTTTTATTTCTAAGATGAAAAACAAATGTATGATAAAAAAAAGATGGTGCAAAGTAAAATATAATTTGATTGAGTACACTATAAATACAAAAATTTCATTATTTTTATTGAGTATTAAGTACAGGAATACAAAGTAAAAATAACATTGTATTTCAAACTATTGTTGATTGTTGGCAACTATTTTGGCGGTGGTCGAAGATATCGATCGATCGCGATGATGGGTGGTGATGGCAACATGTTTGACAATAATTGTGACAACACAACTACATGCGGTGATAATAGATTGCAATTGATAGCAAGCGGTTGGGGGCGAAGACTAGTAGCAGTAGACAATGGACATACACACCATTGAAAACAGGCGAATATCATTACTTCTATCAATATTGGAACGATAAATAAGAGATTAGCATGCCCCCTGAGCATGGATGACACGCATAAATCGAGAAATGGTCCAAATTTCTCTCTGCTTGGTTTGAATAATTTAAGTATCGACACAGCTCATCTTGGCCTGTTGGTTGAGAGCTTATGCTTCCAACTAAGAGCTCTTGGGTTCGAGTCTTTGTGTATGCGTTGTGTATGTGAGTTTGCCTTAAATGACCTAAATGTCCCAAAAAAAAAAAATGGAGAATATCATTACTTCTACCCATATTTAATATTTAAAACTTACTCAAAATAGAAAACAATAAATGCACTCAAAATGAATTGCAAATTTATTCATAAAATACTTTATATTTAAAATGCAATCATCTAAATGCCTGGATATTCAAAACCCTCAAAATAGAAAACCCTAAATGCAGCCATAAATAACCCACCAACTTGTGGGGATAAGAAGAAATATAATAATAAAATTCAAATAATTATTAAATACAAATTTATAAAATAACGCGCATGTGATATATTGAATACACTCGCATGCAGTTTAGCCACATCAATGAGCCTTATCAATTAAATTGGGAAATTTAATAATAAATCCCTCAGTTGAGATATAAATGGTCTGTCAACATGGAGAAATTATTACGTACAGTCATTGAATCGTCCAAAAGTGAATCAGAATGCATCACATCATCTAGTACAAAGCGGTATGCAGCACTGATACATAACAAAATAGTGATGTGGCGCGTCCTGATTCACCTCCGAACAGTATCCCGTGACCGGAAGTAATAAATTCTCATCAATTTGGCATTCAGCTGGCCCTTCTAAGCTGCCACATCATGATAAATGTCTTTTTTTGTAAAGTTTGAAAGCAACCTTATTAAAGTAAATTGCAAATAATAGTAGTGATGATAATGATGCTAAATAGAAAAGGATCACTATATCAATAGTTGACTGTGTCAGAAATAAATGGAAGTGCTGAGCTTAAAAATGCAATCAAAGTTGTTGAAGAAAATAATTGTGATGGGGAAGTTGGGGAGGAGATATGAATGTTTATATGGGATGCTTTGTATCAAATTCATAGAGGAGCTTCGCACTTAGTAGTTGATAATTTTTTTTTATAGATTAAAAAAAATTTATAGATGATATTTTGTATGCAAGTATGAATATTTTGGAATAGTGAATTTATCAACTTAGCCTTGAATTAAGTTCAGCACAACCACGATGTTACAGAATAACACGGAATATTTTATCATGAACGGAGGAGCAAAAATCAAGAGACCTAGTAAGTTATATTTATGAATTAATTGGATGAAAATTATAGCACGGGGTATGACCCAATTGAAAATGATTATACTAGAATTTAAGTATATTACGATTGACTGACTTGCCCTCAAGGGCTATCAGATTACAAATGTCAAACATATGATTGAAGTCGGGGGTAGATGAAATTCTAATGTCATTTGGTGGTCCGACCAAACTCTTGCTTACTTGGTGGTCCCGCGAAAGTCTGATGTCACTTGAAAGTTCGATGTCAGTTGGTAGTCTAGCAGCGTAGTGGCAGAACTTTGGCATCCGTCAGTGGTTTTGCGGAACTTCAGCGTCAGGTGGTGGTCCGGTGGAATTCTAAGAGTTAGGTGGCGGTCCGGTAGAACTCTGGAAGTCAGGTGGTGGTCCGGCGAAACTCCAAGGGTCAGATGGTGGTCCAGCGGAACTCTGTCGTTAGGTGGTAGTCAGCGGAACTCCGTCGTCAAGTGGTGGTCTGGCGGAACTTGGGTCGTCAGGTGGTGGTCCGGCGGAACTCCGACAATCCCGACATCATGTGGTGGTCCGGCAAAACTCCGGCTTCATGCGGTGGTCCTGCGAAACTCCGCCGTTAGGCGTGGTCTGACAAAACTCTGGTTGGTGGTCGAGGAGGAGTAAGGAGGCAAGAGCGATGTCCGATCTTTCTCTTACTTCTTTTCCTTTGGCTTGGTTTCTTTTCAAGGGAAAGAAATGATATATTTATAGATTTTCTAGAGTGATATGACTTGTAAATAGATGAAAGAGTGTTTTGGGAGTGGTTTGGATGGACGGTTGATATTGGATCCATTTATTGTAGACTATTTATTGGGCATTTGAATGTCTTAATGATATCAAAATTTAGTGATATTAGTCTCGTTGGATTCATCTCGTCGAGCCGCTCGATTCAACTATAGGCATGTCGTGTTTGAAAACTGATTGGTAATCCAAAATGTGGTTTGAACCTTTCAACAATGTTTCGGGTACTTGATTTGGACCCATTTGGACTCGGACTAACTTGAATTTGGTGTCGTTGGGTTTGTGTTTTTGAGATGTTCAGTTGACTATAAGTTTTCTGAAATCAAGTTTAGATGGTCTCAATTTTAATTTCTATAGTTTCCAACTTGATTTTGCCCTAAGATTCGTGCCCGATCAAGATATATTTTTGATGATGATGATGATGATAATATATATATGGATTATGAATTATCCAGGGAAGCCTTTTCTATCAGAGCAAAAACAAAAATTTATGGATGAATGTTTCAAAAAATTTAATACAAAGTAAGTTTAGTTGCGTTTTAGTTGCGCTATAGTTGCGCTAAAGTTGCGCTATGGTTGCGCTATAGTTGTGATATAGTTGCGCTATAGTTGCGTTATAGTTGCGCTATAGTTGCGCTATTGTTGCGCTATGGTTGTGCTATTGTTGCGCTATGGTTGCACTATAATTGCGCTATAGTTGGGCTATAGTTGCGCTACGGTTGTGCTATGGTTGCGCTCTAACATTATATTTTTCTTTATTTTTTGTAGGGAGCACAAAATATTTGCATCTGGAAACATTGAAATAAAAAGATCAGATATTAACTTTCTGCTCACAAATGATTGGTTAGGTGATAACCATGTTGATGCATTTGCTTTCTTTTTACTTGAGCAGAGTAGGTTAATGGCGGAGAAATTTCAACGTTATTTGTATATTTCTCCATTGTACAGGGTAAGTATAAATAATATTTTAATATTTTTATTTCACGTTTCTTTTTCCTTATGGAACTGAATTATTGCAGGTATACAAGTCATTCAATCAGGATTATCAAATTTTTATCGAACACATTAATCCAGTTTCAGTTGAAGAAAGCAAACTTATTGTTCAACCCATAATTTACCAGAAGCACTGGGTTCTTCTTGTTGGGAAACTGAAGGTAAAGTCTGGAAAACTGTATGACTGCATATACCTAATGCCTGACACAAGCATATTTGTCATGAAGTTTGTAAGTGCACATTTAAGTTTTAAATTGATCCTGTTACTATGTTTATTCAGTAATAAATGTTTAAATGGTTTTATTCTCGTACAGATAAAATTATTTGCACGAGGACACCGTAGGCTGCTTTTTCTTAGCGATATCATGGAAGACTCCAGA